ATGTATTTGTTTGTGCCATTGCTTGTCATTTATCTATTCTTATTTTAATACTGACTGTTTACTTGTTTTTTTTTTAGTTCAAATTAATTCAATTCAGAATTTGAAAAAGTAATTTTTAAGTATCTTCCTCACAATATAAATATGAATCAAAAACATTATAAATTGTAAAACACAAATACACTGGGTGACAAAATATTTAGGTTGGATGATTGTAGTTAAAAAAATATGTCTAAAAAAATACCCTAACTCCCCCCTCAAATTAAAAAATCCCCCCATAAGAGCCAACTAAAGGGGGAATTCCTCCCATTTTCCAAAATGAAATTCAGGCCCCGAGTACGTTTGCAACAAATTTTTAGCTGGGAACGTGACTTTCCCAGGTTTGAAGAAAACAAACAAACAAACTCCGATACAGATACTTCAAAGCATTCTAAATATCATATGTATTAATGGAGGCCATAAAAATGTAGCAAGTTTAATAGGATTAAATTATAAATTAATATGATTATTATTATTTGTATAATGTTAATGCAACAATATGGTATAATTCCCTTCATATTCTACATACAGGTTTTATGAAGGTAAATAAGACTTTTTAAAGACCTTTAAAGGGGTCATATGATGTTGCTAAAAAGAACATTATGTTGTGTATTTGGTGTAATGAAATGCGTTTATGCGGTTTAAGGTTCAAAAAACACATACATTATTGTTTCTCCTCTATGCCCCGCCTTTCTAAAACGCTATGAAGATTTTTTTTTCTGTGCATTCATATAAGAGAGATATACTGGACTGGGGAAATTTTGCTCTGCCACTGACCAATAATAAGTGTCAAACCACATCCTTAACTTCTTTTCAAATTATATAGATTGACTAAATGTAAATTTGACTTGTAATGTGAGATGTGTAGCAAATTAATACAGTTCGTACAGTTATCAAAGTGACCTATATTTTTACAGACATATTTAATTTGCATTTACAAATCTAAAAATGTCGTCTTAAAAAAAAAAAAAAAGCAAAAAAAAAAAAAACTCAAATTTAAAAAATGAAATTATTTTACATGCCGAGATCGTGACGTAGGTATGTGGGGGTGTGTTAGAACGAGCCGTTTTAGGTAGGCGTGGTTGATTCTTAACTTTTATAAAGAATATCTCTTTGGATTTGAGACTTTAGTCTTTGCAACTTTACAGATCTTCTTTATGCACCAAGAGCTTGTAACACTCCAAAGAGAAAGGAAAAATTGAAATCGCATCATATGACCCCTTTAAGGAATAAATTGAAGGGAACTAAATATGTCAGTATGTTCTCTAAATGTAAGTGTCTTGTAGCAACACTTCAAAGTTTGAAAATACAACTTCTAATAGATCTCGGTTACTTTTTAATTCATTTTACACAGAAAAATGTAGGAGTTTTTGTAGTAATGCCTTGTATATAGCACTGCCATTGTAACGTCAATGACATTGACCTTTTTTTTTTTTTAAAGGCAATGATAGCATTGCTTTGTTAATTGACTGTCTCTTGTGAAGTCTAAGAGCATAATTATATTAACTCATAACATTATTGATAACATGACCAACCCAGTCTGTAGTGAACGGAGCTCCATTGGCCATCAGCGTCCTGACCTCATCATCATGACCGTTCCGAGCTGCTTCTAAAAGACGTTTTCCCAAATCCACCAAGGACATCTAGGCAAAGACAGACATATATATATATATATATATATGCACTACAACTTATCCGACTAGCCTAACGTTATTTGCAATCGGTCCAGAATCTAGCGTGCACAGATTTCGACGTGCCGTTTGCGTTTATATTTCATAGGACGTTTAAAAACACATAAACTAGTGCAGTTAACCAGCTGAGCAATGTATTTGTAAGCAAGCAAGCTGATATTCAAAAACGTGAATACATGAACAACAGCTTTCCTGTCCATATCATTAGAAAATAAGTAATGAAAACCAACAGAAATAACAGAGAGCGTATAAATCTTATTAGAATAAATTCCTAAGAACACATACATAAAAACATATGAAATGCATCAGTGGGTGGATATCTAACGGTGGTTTTAAAGCTCGTATTTTACATGCTAAACTCATGTGCCATGTGGAGTCAAACATACAGCCGCGCTGATCACGCACATCCTGCATCTGCGCCACCAACTGATGAGATCTGTGTATATTAAACTTACCTTTATACCCTGTCTGTCGGACGTATATTGGGTGATATTAAAGCACTATATAGTTCTCCCTGCTGTATTTCTCAACTGGCTGAACATAAACATGTCTATGCGTTTAAAGCGCATTCAGATATGGCGGCTGCTTTAACCCCGGAAATAAAAGCGAGCCGTTCAGACCCCGTGGACGTGTCTCAAAACCTAGTTTGCTGCCTACTCAAACAGCATGCTTGGGCCTACTAGATGCGTTTTAACCCCACAAATCCTGCACGAGTCTATGATGCTCAAAATGCTAACTAGGTAGTCAGCTCACTTGGTTTTGAGGCACAGCCTACTATTCAACTGTATAGATACAATTTAAAAATATATATATTTATTTATAAATATATTGTAAGTGTATATAATAAGTGGGTTTTATGTTTAGGCCTACTTTTTTCCCCCTATTGCTTATATATACATATTACTATAAAATATGAAGTTGAGATGTATGAGTGTATAATTGATGTATAATTGTATAATTTGCATTGTGTAATATAATTGTATAAATAAAATGATTCTGATAATCATTTTTGCCGGTTAAAGTCTTTATCTTGACTGTGATGTAAATAGATAGCTTTCCTTGACACATTTAATACTGCAAACTCTTATCTGCATTTGTCTGCTTTCTTACACTGCTACCCAGATGTGTTCCAAAACACCTGTGCTTATCAACACACGAAACCACCCGAAAAACTAAAAAAGAAAAAAATATATATCTTGCCCAAAATCTATACTTCAAGTTTGAGTTGCAAAGTTAGGACTAAAAAAAACATTTGCACCGGTTTCGGCCAAAAACAAACAAACAAACAAACAAAAGTTTTTGAATATGAATGTGTCTCAATGTAAGTCTCTCAATTTCTCTCATTGGTCAACGTTCAAAAATGCTATCTTTTTTATCTATAAAATGTTAAATGAAACATGAATACAGATGCATTTTTATTCATTTAGCAGCAAGCTCACTTTAATTGGCATCTGACATTTGTCATTAAACATGATGGGGGGGAAAACAGTGCATTTAAACATGGACATTCCGTTCAATACAAAAAGCCTTTTAAGTGAGACTCCAGTTTAAACTAATGAATTACTGTATGCATTAATATTACAAATAATTTGGCAGGCAATAATATTACACAGTTTTAGATTTCTTATTTGTTTTGAATCCCCTTGCCTTGAAGTGAATTCGGCAGATTAGAATCTGGATATCTGATAATCTTATTTCATTGCCAACTGTGCAGTCACACAGTTTACAGGGCAATAAGATACTAATACATCCATATTCAATAATGCCCTACTAGTTTAATCAAACAAGAACCCAGTTATCACAGTTTACTGACACGGTTTAACAAGAAAGGCATGATTCATGACTCTTGTATTCATCAATATCAGATCGAAGTAGAGAATCGGTGCAACCACAGTGGCTTTAAACACAGATTTGGGCGGGAACTGAGAATTGCATTGCAGTGTCTTATAACAGCAGGCTGAAATCCAAGGTTTCGATATTAGCGATGGGCTCTTTCCAGTAGTTGAAGGTGGAGTACTTCAACAGCTCCAAATCATCTCCCTCCTCCTGTCCCAGGGGTTTTTGGGAGCTCTTGGCCAACTTCCCTTCTTTGGACTTGGGCATAGAAATGCCAATGTCTTCCAGCTCTGACAGGTCCAGTGATGGGATGGGCTGCCTCCAAAACAGGAAGGAGTTGAACTGGCTGCTGGTTGTGTCTAACATTTTGATCTGCGCATTAAGAAGAGATTTAAAAGATCAGGACAGCACTGTTGACAAGCAGATATTTATTTGAATCATAAATTAAGTAATGAAGACAATATCTCAACTAACTTGTTTCACAGAATACATTGCTTTGCTATTTAGAAACCCGTTTACATTTTCCCTCAGTGAGCTCCTGACTTGCTATTTTCAGTCACCTGCTATTTTCAGGGAAACTTGAGCAATTTACATCTGTAAAACAACTTTCATATGCAGGCCAAAGGCTAAAATATAATATAAAATAATAAATAGAATTACTATATTAGTTATAATAAACTAATATATCAATTATATAATGTATTATAATTTTTTTATTTTTAAATGGATTATTATTATGTAAAAAATAAAAAAAAATCTTTTTAAAGTTATGACAATTAAATGCAAACAATTTACATGTAAAATAACTTTCACCTACATGTCAAAGGAGAAATATATTATAAATCTACTACTACTAAAAACAACAACTTATCAATATGATGATTATAAAAGAAGAAATAATAAAACAGTGATAACGAAAAACTTAAATATCACGCTCAAGAATGTCTATATGATAGTGTCTTCATATTAAGCATCTAATTCTATTAATATACTATAATGAGATGCAAGATTTAAGACCTTACAATAATAAAATGTAAGCAGCTCACATGTGCAAATAACTTTCATATCCTTGTCAAAGGAAAAATGTATTATAAAAACAGCTTATTATAAAAGAAGTAATAATAAAACTGTTGTGGCAACAAAAACAGTAAATATGCTCAAGAATAAGCGACAGGATGGTGTCCACACTTCTGCCATCTAATTATATTAATATATTATAATTAGATGCGAGATTTAAGGCTTTAGGAATAAGAACAAAGCAGCATTATCTTTTCGTTACAAAGAAGAGATATCATTTGGAAGCTGCAATTTTAAGTACACATGAAAGCTAATGATTATGATGAAGCCACTCTAATGAATTGAACTACACGCTCCCGTCGCGTCGTTGGGTGATTTAGCTCTGGCCACACAATGCAGCGGCGGTATACGCCCAAATTTCAGAGACAATCGGTGGATGAGGTCCTTAAATGACCATCAGGAATAGCCTGCATGTTTTTTTTATTTTTTTATTGCAGCATCTCACATGCAAATCTATTAACAGAGAGCCCCAAAAATAGTGATGGCGCATCTCATGACAAAGCATTTCAGAGATGCTTCAGTACAGTGGTAAGAATGGATTACAAGCAACTAACATTAAATAGGCCTGAAGCAAAAACATTTACTAATAAAAGACGTGATCTTATTTTTAAATGACAAATGAGGTCACATTAATTTTGTTAGACTGGACATCATGCCTATGTGATGGAACACCAAAATAATTTGTAATGCAAGGGATTAAAAAAAATACATTACTCAAACAAATGGGAAAAAAAAAAAAAAAAAAGCATACCCCTAGTATGTAGTCAGGTTCGCTCTCTTTCAATAACAAGCTGGTTTGTAGTAAGAATAGAAGGTGCACCCTATTTGGTCTCGGTCTTCTCGCCGGCTGCTCAGCATGAACCAACCGCACCCAACATCACCAGTGACAGTCGTGGGCGATTTGCATTAGCCCCGCCCACCTTCTGTGCGTGACTGAAGGGGATCAGTGACCGGTGCATAATTAGCGTCAGGTGGGCGTGGCTGATCTATTGTTCTAATAAAATAGCAAAAACTAGTAACTGCATTTATGAGTGTATGAAGCCGTGGCCTAATGGTTAGAGAGTCGGACTCGTAACCCAAAGGTTGCGGGTTCGAGTCTCGTACCGGCAGGGATTGTAGGTGGGGGGAGTGACTGTACAGCGCTCTCTCCCACCTTCAATACTACGACTGAGGTGCCCTTGAGCAAGGCACCGAACCCCCAACCGCTCCCCGGGCGCTGCAGCAAAAAAAAAAAAAATGGCTGCCCACTGCTCCGGGTGTGTGTTCACGGTGTGTGTGTGTTCACTGCTGTGTGTGTGCACTTTGGATGGGTTAAATGCAGAGCACTAATTCCTAGTATGGGTTACCATACTTGGCCACATGTCACGTCACTGTCACTAGTAGTTTTGTGGTTTTGTTAACGACCCCTTCTTTCTGCAAGTGGAGTCGTCTATTGTGTGATGTGAGTGCTGCTTGTTGATTGGCTGAGTTCACCGTCCATCAGGTCGATTGACCCATCTTTCCACTGCACGCAAAATGGAAATGTATTGATTATTTCAGTCGAATAAAACGCACAGCTTTGGTGTGTGGATATTTACTTTAATTTAGTGAATACCAGTTGCGCCGACTGTAAATGTTTCAGTAGATTGATATTAAAATCACGTTAGATATTTACAGTGTGCAAATAGGAGGAGTAGTGTGCAAACAGATAACACTATACATAGTTATCCAATATCATCCTTTAATTAAATATAGAATATTCAATACTATAATTTGATAATAATAAGAAGCTTCAGATACAAACACATGAGACAAAAATAAATGATTTACACTAGAGTTCAGCTCATTTCCACTTTTCCAGTAATACAAAACGTAGTCAATCCTGTTTAACAGGGAAAGTTAAAACATTCACTAAATGTACATTTTTGTACCCTACATTGTGCTAGCCGCAAAGCAGTCAGTGAAATAAAACAAAACAAAACAATAAATAAAATAAAATAATACAATTAGGGTAATATAGAAATACTATTAGTATTAGAATACTATTACTATTAGAAATACTAATAGTATTTCTGAAATCTAAAAGGTTTTAGAACAAAGTGTATTTATTGATGTGTTTTACAAGATTACTCTAATGCATTGCAGGGACCGTTATGTTAAAGAAAGAAAGAAAGAAAGTAAGTTCTGTCATTATTTACTCACCCTCAAAACTTGTATACCTTTCTTTTTTTTATGTGGAACACACACACACACACACACACAAACATGTTTGGCAGGATGTTTGGGACTGACAGCCTCAGTCATCATTCCCATTTAATTGCATTATTTTGCCCATACAATGAATGTGAATAAAGCTGTCATTCTTCTTAGCATCTCCTTTTGTGTTCTACTAAAGAAAGAAAGTCGTATTGGTTTGAAAAAATGAGGGTGATGACAGATTTTCTATTCTTTTCTATTCTATTCTATTCTATTCCAGTGTAGTCTAGTCTAGTTGCCATCGTCAGTGCAGCTCGAACCTGCACTTCCATCCTCCAACCACGAGATGCCACTAGATACCTGATAATAATTCAAATCCCATACGTCTTAATGACCTTAATATATCAAAACATATTTTACAGAAACATTGTTGTCAGTATGACCTAACATAACACTTTGCCAAGTAGAGAAAATATCATATAGTTATAAAGAGTAAATTAGCTTCCGACTTGACGTCATTGTTTACAAACACAGGCACCGGAAGTGAGACACAGGCAAAAACAAGATTACGGAAAGAGTGGTGAGAAAGAGAGAGACGTGCGCTGTATCAGCCTGTCGGGTAGACAACACATATCTGTAGATTTCATCCAGACACCTTCACTGGATTACTGTATTTTACAGTCTATGTTTTAGAGGTTTTTAAAGACCTGCAGAAAGGTCGCTATGGTAAGTTTGTGCTGCTGCTGTTGTAAGTGATGTATTGTGAACTGCTGTACTCTTAGTATACATTAATATGTTTATGAATTCACATGCTGTACTAAGTAGAAGTTGTTTTTTTGCAAATAGATTGGCAAATAAATATCTTATTGTTCTGAAGAGACACAATCCTTGTGTTGACAGTTCACTTATTAACAACCTCATCTGCAGTGTTTTTTGTTTAAAATGACAACAATTCCTCATTTTCACTGTTCAGTTTAGTGAGTGAATCTTGTCTAAATGTCTTTCTGTTTGTTTTAGAGTTTGTGAAATTCAAAATATGAGATCAGAAATCCTTCTTAACCTCCAGAGCGTCACCCTTCAGTGATCAGGTGAAAACTAACCCTAAGGGTCTTCCAGCATATGTAATTATTATGCATGAAACAGTTTTGCCAAACAAACTATTGTAACTCTGAAGCTCATATTTTTATGTCTACTTAAGAATTGCACGGTAATGCATTCTGGGTTGTACATGTAGAGTTTGTAAATGCTGACATGCTTTATGTGCGTCCACAGAAAGCCTCCCTGTGACTCAGCTGCTCCCAGAATTAGGCAACTCAAAAACAACAGGACAAGGCAGAGGTGTGCTGAAAAACGGCCACTTTAACGGTTTCCTCCTCCGCATACTAGTGATGGATGTGGCATGATAGCAAGAAAGTATCAAGTTTTTCCACTAGATACCTGATAATAATTCAAATCCCATACGTCTTAATGACCTTAATATATCAAAACATATTTTACAGAAACATTGTTGTCAGTATGACCTAACATAACACTTTGCCAAGTAGAGAAAATATCATATAGTTATAAAGAGTAAATTAGCTTCCGACTTGACGTCATTGTTTACAAACACAGGCACCGGAAGTGAGACACAGGCAAAAACAAGATTACGGAAAGAGTGGTGAGAAAGAGAGAGACGTGCGCTGTATCAGCCTGTCGGGTAGACAACACATATCTGTAGATTTCATCCAGACACCTTCACTGGATTACTGTATTTTACAGTCTATGTTTTAGAGGTTTTTAAAGACCTGCAGAAAGGTCGCTATGGTAAGTTTGTGCTGCTGCTGTTGTAAGTGATGTATTGTGAACTGCTGTACTCTTAGTATACATTAATATGTTTATGAATTCACATGCTGTACTAAGTAGAAGTTGTTTTTTTGCAAATAGATTGGCAAATAAATATCTTATTGTTCTGAAGAGACACAATCCTTGTGTTGACAGTTCACTTATTAACAACCTCATCTGCAGTGTTTTTTGTTTAAAATGACAACAATTCCTCATTTTCACTGTTCAGTTTAGTGAGTGAATCTTGTCTAAATGTCTTTCTGTTTGTTTTAGAGTTTGTGAAATTCAAAATATGAGATCAGAAATCCTTCTTAACCTCCAGAGCGTCACCCTTCAGTGATCAGGTGAAAACTAACCCTAAGGGTCTTCCAGCATATGTAATTATTATGCATGAAACAGTTTTGCCAAACAAACTATTGTAACTCTGAAGCTCATATTTTTATGTCTACTTAAGAATTGCACGGTAATGCATTCTGGGTTGTACATGTAGAGTTTGTAAATGCTGACATGCTTTATGTGCGTCCACAGAAAGCCTCCCTGTGACTCAGCTGCTCCCAGAATTAGGCAACTCAAAAACAACAGGACAAGGCAGAGGTGTGCTGAAAAACGGCCACTTTAACGGTTTCCTCCTCCGCATACTAGTGATGGATGTGGCATGATAGCAAGAAAGTATCAAGTTTTTAACTTAAGAAGGAATTTATGTAATATATCTGTAAGCGATTGCTTTTAAAAGACTGACACGGGTAGAAACGTGGGTCCTAAATCTCAGAAATATGAAGTAAGCAAAAATTTAATTTTTGGGAAAAGAAAACAGTCACTGTCAGATTTTTTTTTTATCAGCAACCAAATTTTTTTTTAAAAACGTGTTTAGCTTTCCACCCCAGTTTAATTGGCTCTGTTTATTATAAGCACCTAATCTCACCTGTCAGGTCATGGCAGATTCTTGCCCAGACACCGTTGATGGTGAGATTATAGGCATTTCTGAGGGACAGCAGTTAAACACAACCAAAAATGAGGACTTTGATGCTGCTAAACCACAGGACAAGGGAGTCAGCCAAAAAGAGGGTGTCACCAACACTGAGCAATCCTCTGGGAGTATTTCTCACCATATGAAAGATGACCTTATAACATGCAAAAATCCTCCAACAACCACAGCTTCCCTTGAAGACGAAGTTAATGCAACTCTGTCTGCGACCAGTAAAAGCCAAGACAAAACCGATGAATCTGAGATCATCAATAGCCAATCCTACACGCCCAGCCAATCAGAGGTGACTCCCACTTTCTCCATGGCCAGTCTGGAGTTCTCCGAGGAGACTAATGGGATTCCTCCTGATAGACCTTTGATTTCATCCAAATCTGCTGAGGATGGCAACCAAGTCCCCTCTCAGGGGAGCGGAGGGGCCTGTGTGGGGGCTGCGAGATCATCAGAGCCTAGCATGCCGGCATATTATTTTGTCAAGTGGATTACCTGGAAAGAGAAGAAGACGGCTATTATCACACAGAGCGAGAACGGACCCTGCCCCCTGATTGCCGTCATGAACATTCTGTTGTTGCGGTGGAAGGTAAGCCATTCAGCATTACCTGCTCGTCATAGTTAGGGTTGAAAAAAGGTGGAAAATTTCCAGTAAATTTCGGAAACATTTCAGAAATTTTGGAAACTTTCCAGGATTTTTTGGGAATATTCCAGGGATTTTTGGAAAGTTTCGGGAAATGTACCGGAAATTTTCCACCCCTTTGCAACCCTAGTCATAGTACAAACACATGGTTCAAAACAAGTACATTATGTGTGGTGTTTGCTAAGGCAAGCATCACTTAAACTGTTTGAACAAACCCAAATAAATATTAAACTTAAAATAACTGCGTAAAAATTGTAATTAATCTGTGTTAAAAATCAGTGATATATGTAGAAATATAAATCTTACCATTTTTTAAAAAGAAATTAATACATTTTTATTCATCAGTGATGCATTAAATGAATCAAAAGTGACAGTAAAAATATTTGTTACGCAAAATTTCTATTACAAATAAATGCTATTCTTTTGAACTTTCTATTCATCAAAGACTGCAAAAAAAAAATCACAGTTTCCACAAGAGTATAAAGCATGGTTGTGTTTTCAATACTGATAATAAGAAGGAATGTTTCTTGAGCAGTAAATCAGCATATCAGAATGATTTCTGAAGGATCATGTGACACTGAAGACTGGAGTAATGATGCTGAAAATTCAGCTTTGCGTCACAGGGATAAATTACATTTGAAAATATATCATAATATAAAGTAGTTTAAATTGTAATAATATTTCACAATATTACTGTTTTGCTGTATTTCTCATAAAACAAATGCAGCCTTAGTGAGGCTTCTTTAAAAACATACAAAAATCTTACCAACCCCAGACTTTTGAACTGTAGTGTATATATAAATATATAAAATCCATTGTAATCAGTCATACCAGTATTTAGCTGAATAAAACTTTGACTTTTCACTGACCTAGTAATAGACTCATGACTCTTCTTATCTGTTCCTGTGTGTTACTGTATAAACACGATTTCAGCTTTTAGTCTGATAACACATTCAGGAAAAAAAAAAGTGTTGTGAAATAGAAGACAAAAAATGTAGACGAGGGTGTGCCATGACTAAAAGCAGAAGTATTTGTTTGTGAATTTCATGTATGTGTACTTGAGATCATTACATGTGTGTAAAATACGAACTGTATGAACTCTGTGTCTATTCTTCAGGTGAAGTTACCGGCTCAGACGGAAGTGGTCACCACTGAAGAGCTGATGGCTCACCTTGGTAAGATGTTTTAGAGCACTGGACATGCTGTATCTGTTTCAATATGTTACATCAAATTATATTAAAACACAAAGTGCTTGAGTCACAGCACATCTTTCCTGGTAATGGACTGTGATAAGTTAAGGAGCTCTAGTGATGCACCACAGTAAACTTTATGGTTGGAAACAGATGGCTAGTGTGACTTGAGAAGAAGGGTGTGTGTGAAAGCATTTGTGTTTCAGTACCACTAATGGCACCCCAATCACGGATTATACCATTAAGTCTCTGCTCTTTGTGTAAGTAGTAATTTAGAAGATGCTTTTAGGTTAAATGCCTTGCTCAAGGACACAATGGCAATACTTTCTGACCCTTCGATGGGTTTGAATCGTTACTAGTCCAGATGTTTAAAGTAATAGTTCAGCCAAAAATGAAAATTTGCTGAAAATGTACCTTCCCTCAGGCTATCCAAAACTTTGTCAGTTTGTTGAAGTTTAGCATTGCATCTCTTGCTCATCAGTGGATCCTCTGCAGTGAATGGGTGCCGTCAGAATGAGAGTCCAAACAGCTGATAAAAGTATCACAGTAATTCACAAGTAATCGTCATGACTACAGTTGATCAATTAATGTCTTGTGAAGCGAAAAACTGCATTTTTAAGAAATAAATCCATCATTAAAGCGATTTAACTTTAAACTGTTGCTTCTGGCCAAAATACAAATCCAATACAAAAGTCCATTTCCCTGTTATCCTTCCACATTAAACTCCACCAACATATTTGTTTAGAATAGTTTTGGACCGTTTACACTTGTAAATGGTTTATCGCTTAATCTGTGTTGATCTGTGTGGATAGAGGGGAAAAAAAAGTCTTGATGGATTTGTTTATTACAAACATGCAGCTTTTTGCGTCACTGGAGTTGTGTGGATTATTGTGGATTCAGAATGAGAGTCCAAACAGCTGATAAAAGTATCACAGTAATTCACAAGTAATCGTCATGACTACAGTTGATCAATTAATGTCTTGTGAAGCGAAAAACTGCATTTTTAAGAAATAAATCCATCATTAAAGCGATTTAACTTTAAACTGTTGCTTCTGGCCAAAATACAAATCCAATACAAAAGTCCATTTCCCTGTTATCCTTCCACATTAAACTCCACCAACATATTTGTTTAGAATAGTTTTGGACCGTTTACACTTGTAAATGGTTTATCGCTTAATCTGTGTTGATCTGTGTGGATAGAGGGGAAAAAAAAGTCTTGATGGATTTGTTTATTACAAACATGCAGCTTTTTGCGTCACTGGAGTTGTGTGGATTATTGTGGATTATTGTGATGTTTTTATCAGCTATTTGGACTCTCATTCTGACGGCACCCATTCACTGCAGAGGATCCATTGGTGAGCAAGTGATGTAATGCTACATTTCTCCAGATCTGTTCTGATGAGGAAACATACTCATCTTCATCTTGAATGGCCTGAGCAAATTTTCTGCATATTTTCATTTTTGGGTGAACTATTTCTTTAACCACCACTCTGTTGATCAGCTATGGGTGTAAGTTTTCTTTTACAGTGTCCCTAGAAAGTATTTAAAAACGGTTGCACATGGAAGTCACATACATGAATGTCATTGCATTGCATTACATAACAAAATTCAAATCAAGTGGCAACTGTAAAAAATCTCAAATTATATATATATATATATATATATATATGTGTGTGTGTGTGTGTGTGTGTGTATGCATATACTTACATTTCTCTAATACAATGAATTAAGCGGCCAAAATTTTTTCCGAGCCACTGTATATCACCTCTAATTAGGTCATAGC